GAATAGTTTTTCAAGCGTGGTTTATAGCTTTAATCACATGTCGATATGACGTACAGTAGTAGCGCGCGTGACTGTTACAACAGTAAAAAGGCTAAGATATGGTTTAAATCTAATACTTTAAGATTAAAGAATGACGAGAGTTATGTAATATTATTTATTTCCTCATATAATATTAGTCACAAGGCATAATTTCTGTTATAATATTGTAAAGTTTCCAATTGAAAACGACACTATATAGGGTCGCCGGCAACCTAGGTGACTTGTTTAAATCTGTGATTATTCCCACCATCCTTTTAGCGCCCATATTGTACACTTTGGCTTTTGTCTCAGTGACAATTTGAGAAAATAGCTGTATAAGATGTGTTATAAATAATAAGCACTACGACGTTGTATTCCATTACAAAAAAGGAACATAAATCTAAAACACAGAAACGTAAATAAGAGGCGAAAAACTCATTAAAATGACGTATTTCATCCGCATTTTATCCCCATATCCGTTCCGTGAATCCGCATCCGCTTTCCGCATTTTAATCTAATTATGACGTGTTCACAATAACAAGTCTCATTGACCTTTGATATATTTCGAAGGTCACGTTGTTGTTTCATGAGTCATTTTCAGCTTTTCGCATGTATTCAATAATGCAACTTTAGATTTCAATAGTTTCACAGTTATTGCAGTGTTTATATAGCAGTTTTGACAAGCTTTGATACAGATAGATTCTCGTAAGATCTGGTAGAGTTTCCGTTGCACTGAACACGAGTTTGCACCGTTGTGCTATACACGTAAACAAAGATTTTCTCAATATTTATGTCTGAAATGTTTATACATTTGAAAACACGGTCTCGCTGCTTCCTAGCTCTGTATAATGAATATACCGTCGGCACTTAATAGAATGCCCGTAATGCAAAAAATCAATTTATATATTGCGTAGAATCTCAAAGATTTTCTCAATATTCATGCCTGAAATGTTCATACATTTCAAAAGACAAAACAACACTGTCTCGCTGCTTCCTAGCTTTGTATATTGAAATTGAATATACCGTCAAAATAATATCGGTACTTAATTGAATGCCCATAATGCATAAGTCATAACATCAATTTATATATTGCGTAGATTCTCAAAGATTTACTCGATATTCACATCTATAAAAATGTTTATAATTTGAAAACAACACTGTTCGGCAGTGTCGCTCCTTCCTAGCATCGTCATTCGTCACGCCATCGTGATCTACAGCTTGATAGCACATGCGCATTTGCGCTGCTAAAGAAAAAATGGGTGTTCCGGGGGAAAGATCTTTCACACAACACGGAGAAGCAAATGTTATAAAATTGACAAAAATTTGCAATAACAACAATTCCTGGAAATTTTTGTGAACTTGGCAAGTATTTAAATAAGACAACTGAAATTGCCTAAATAACCTTCAAAGCACTTCAAAGCACTGACTAAGTAGAATAAATCACCACGACGATAAATCGTATACACCCCCCGGAAAGTTTACTCCATGATATCTGATGTATGACAGATGTGAATTTTCGCCACTCATCACAATAGTGCACAGTTTCAAAGAAACTCTGCACTAAAAATGGACGAAAAGTTAAGGGTATAGCCTTACTTTTTTGCTGTTTTTTGCCCACTGATGAGAAAAGTCGCCAAAAATGGACGAAGGCTATATAGCCTTACTTTTTTGCTGTTTTTTGCCCACTTATGAAAAATGAAAAAAGTCGCCAAAAATGGACGAAAAGTTAAGGGTATAGCCTTACTTTTTTGCTGTTTTTTTGCCCACTTATGAAAAATGAAAAAAGTCGCCAAAAATGGACGAAAAGTTAAGGGCATAGCCTTACTTTTTTGCTGTTTTTTTGCCCACTTATGAAAAATGGCAAAAGTCGTTAAAAATGGACGAAAAGTTAAGGGTATAGCCTTACTTTTTTGCTGTTTTTTTGCCCACTTATGAAAAATGAAAAAAGTCGCCAAAAATGGACGATTTTTTGCTGTTTTTTGCCCACTTATGAAAAATGAAAAAAGTCGCCAAAAATGGACGAAAAGTAAAGGGTATAGCCTTACTTTTTTGCTGTTTTTTGCCCACTGATGAAAAATGAAAAAAGTCGCCAAAAATGGACGAAAAGTAAAGGGTATACCCTTACTTTTTTGCTGTTTTTTGCCCACTTATGAAAAATAAAAAAAGTCGCCAAAAATGGACGAAAAGTTAAGGGTATAGCCTTACTTTTTTGCTGTTTTTTGCCCACTTATGAAAAATGAAAAAAGTCGCCAAAAATGGACGAAAAGTTAAGGGTATAGCCTTACTTTTTTGCCCACTTATGAAAAATGAAAAAAGTCGCCAAAAATGGACGAAAAGTTAAGGGTATAGCCTTACTTTTTTGCTGTTTTTTGCCCACTTATGAAAAATGAAATAAGTCGCCAAAAATGGACGAAAAGTTAAGGCTGTTTTGGTGTTTTTTGCCCACTTATGAAAAATGAAAAAAGTTGCCAAAAATGGACGAAAAGTAAAGGGTATATATAGCCTTACCTTTTTTCTCCTTTTTGTCTCTTTACGGAAAATGAAAAATGTCGTAAAAATCGCTTTTTGCTGTTGTTTGACCTTTTTAATTACTTTTTTGCTGTTTTTTTGCCCCTTTACAAAAAAAGTCATTAAAATCGATGAAAAGTTAAGGCAATAACCTTACTTATTTGCTGTTTCTGCCCAGTCTTTCGTCTTATCTGTTTCAAGCATTGTAGTTGGTCGTTTTAAAGTTTGTTCTTCCGTTGAAGTGATTTCTTCAATTTTTTTCTTTTTTTTTAGTTTTTCGTTTTAAGGTTACAGAACACCTTTAAATTTTTTATTGGTTTCCATGAAAGCATTAGACTAGTTCTACTATCTGACCTAGTTTGAACGAAAAATGTTGAAAACTCGCAGAGTTATTTAATAAAATACATTTCGCTGGAATAAGAAAAACATTGAAATGTAATATTCAAATTCAATTTTCTCCCGAAAAAGTTTACAGTAATTACTGATTTTCAAACGAGTTGTGCTCCTGCGGGTTTTAACCAATTTTTCTCAAATTTTCACAGGACATAGCTAAAGACGTCAGTTTCAAAATTGTGTTCGGCTTTTTTTTAATTTTGGATATTTTAAAAATAAAGAGCAATTCACTCAAACAATCCAGAAATATATTCAAGTCGTCAAAGAAATCGCCATATCAGCGGAATGACGAAATAAACAAAAATTTCCAAACACAGTTTTTTAGAACAACTATTTTACTGTATAAAAATGATATTTTCATAAATATAACTTAAAACCAGCAGGAGCACAACTCAAAAGCGTATTGGTACCGCGATTTAAGATTTTCCTAAATAATTCTTACATTATTTTATTGTTTGTTAATTTTACAACTTTACCATATTTTGCATGCACTGGAGAACGTTTGGTGAAAATTTGACTGATACTGAGCGTGCAGTAGCGATTTTCCGCAAAACTGGCAAAAGGGTGTCCTGTAACCTTAAATCACTTTGTTCTTCTGTTGAAGTGATTTCTTTAATTTCTTTTTCTTTTTTTCAAAAGCTAGCGATGAAAAATCGTCAATCAAAATAGCCTTGCTTTTTTGTTGTTTTTTGTTGCTTTACGTCAAAATGGACAAAAAGTCAACATTGAGACACATTTAAAAAACACCTTTTAAAACATTTTGGAAAACGGGCAACCACAGGCAAGTGGCAATCTGTGCTCAACAAAGGGAGAGCACAGGAATTTTTTAAATAAAAAGGGCCCGGAACTATTATTCCAAACTTTCTGAAAATTGTCGATAAGCATTTATTTCTCTCATCAAAACAATTACTTTCAACTGATAAAAAAATGCTCACTGACATAGGGCTTTGCATTTATTGGCTTAGATTGGATGAATTCCCCAAGGGATAACATATTATTCAGAATTTAAAATTTTCATGCCACATTGCCTGGAAGGCATTTTATAAACTAACCTTATTTAAATTATTCAAGACAGCAACTGTAGATGATTCTGTTTGGTATAAAATAATCTTTCTTTTCCTAATCTTTCTTTGTCATGTAATCCGGTTCAACATTGAGGACTGATCACTGATCCAAATTCTCTTGGAACAAAATATCTAAACAATGAAAGATATTAATCTAGTTATTTGCACATATCAACTGACAACATATCTTATCTAACTGATATCAGACGAAGGATGCAACAGAAAAATTCATATTTCTGTTTTTAAAAATGGGAGTACCACACGAAATTTTTAAAAATTCATAAAGATCCCCCAACTCACAAAACTTTCTTTCTCTCATCAAAACAATCACCTTCGACTTAGAAAAACTTGTTTCAAAAACTTTGGGTCAAATGCAAAGGGGGATCATAGGCAACCCTACGGTCAACAAATGGCATCACAGGAAAAATTCAAGAGGCCCAACTCACACCAAACTTTCTGAAAATTGTTGAGAAACATTTCTCTAATCAAAACGATCACTTCCGACTCGTAAAAACACGTTTCGAAAAATTTGGGTCAAATGCAAGGAGGGGAACACAGCAACCCAGGGGTTTCAGAATAAGACGGCGGAGTTCCGCTGGCTACTTGAACTTTTACCGCCGGCTACTTTTCGTCAGGTCACAGGAAAAAATTTATATACAAAAGTACAAGCAAACCAACACAATGTTTGTTATGTTCCAATTGGAATTCAAGTTGGCCTCGAATTTCCCTGAAATCAATTGACGGCAATGGCGTTAAAAATTGCCGTAGAACGTAACAGCTGTCTACGGCAATTTTGTGAGTTTCCACGGCATTTTTTTTTTCAAATTGCTGTAATAAAAATTTAACTTTATTGTACAGACTTTGGATTGCTGACAAGCTAGAAACATGGCAGTTTACATATTTCTTTAGTGTTTTTTTTTTCGAAGAAAACTGAGACTGAAATAGTAATTTACGGATGATTTGATCAACATCTGAATTCAAGTATGAAAATAGTAATGCGCAGTGAACATGAGTTTAAAAATACTATACGGCAAAAAATTGCCGCCATTGCCGCAATGATCCAAAGCATTTTGTTCTCCCTCTACAGTAATTGCCGTGATAAAATTCAAGCCCTGAATTCAAGCAAAACATCACTTATTTTGGAAGATCAATAAGATAAATTATAATACATAGTACCAAACATAGCAAAAGAAAGAAGAAGTGGTGAAGTGAAGTTCATTACGTACATAAATATAACATCATTTGATTAATGATTTCGGACTCATAAAATAATTACTATTACTGTAGTGTACATTGTCATTCTGTTCATGCAGCTGTAAAAATTAAACTACAAGTAGCACATTAAAGTACATTGTCACTTACAAGTATAAGGGACGGACCATTTGATTTTTAAGGGGGGGGGGGGAGGAGGGTTGAAAGATTTCGGAAAAAACATTCATGCAATCCAAGGAGAAAGAAAAAAAAATCATGCAACATACAATCGAGGAAAAAATATATCATGCAAAAGAAAGTGCTCAAAAAAAAATTCCTACATGTAAATCTACTGACATTCTTCACTTCAGTATTGTGTCCACAGACTTACAAGATTTTGCATTTTTGAGCAGGCACATTTGCTAAAAAGAACACTGGGTGAACAGTGGACAGCATCACAGGGATTCTGGTGCCTTTGGAGTCTATAACATACGATAGCCAGTGGCGTTCCCTGGCAAAATTGTTGCCCCCCCTGAGAAAATCTGGGCTTAAGATATGTACAAGTTTATAAGTTATTTATACATATCTAATATGCATGGTAGAAAAAGTATTTTTGGATGGTTGAGTCTGTGTGCATTTTTTGATAACATACAATCCTGGACAAAACGTTGTGGACAACCCACAGACATTGGCCTCGAATAGCGTTTTTTCTAAACAATTATCCCCCCGCTCCCCCAAGTCAATGTTGAATGGGATTTTTCATGAAATACGAAGTGTGGTTAAGGCGGACATGCAACATTGAAGAGGGGGAGTGGGGGATGTGCAAGTAAATTCAAGTTTTAGGTGTTTGTTATGATTTTTGCAAAAGTGGATTAAATGTCCACATAAGTTTTGGCCCGGATTGTCTGAAAATCACTGCAGAAAATAATACACGATTCTTGTATTTAATATGATACAAAACGGCCAAAAATATGCTTTGTAAGTAAAATTGCGCTTATTTGCATCTAAATAATCCATTCTTGACCATTTTTTGAAAAAAAATTATCCGGTAAGACACAGATCTCCTAAGCAAAAAACACGCGCCCATGAGCCTAATTTTTAGCAATAATTAATAAATATGTGTCGACGAGAGTGACAGGAATATGCATTGTACTAGTTCCAAGTTTGTTTATGCATTCTTGAAGTGCTTGAGAATCAAATTTATACAACTAAATGACATTTTTCATACAAGCATTAAAAATTCGTTAACTTCACTAAGTATTGCTGCTTACGATATATGCTAGTACGTTTGTCTGTTTTAACTATACTGTATATTACAGCTTCCTTCTGACAGTTCAATTTCAAGGTGCATCTAAAACTTGCTGAATACAATGCTTGACAGAAAACTATACATGATTTAAGACAGGAACTACGTCTGAAATATATTAAGTTACAGGGCTTTGCTGTAATTGTTAAGTTGATATGTTATACTTTCCGATCGAATGACGTGATGTGTAGCATAATGTTCAACTGAAGCTCGAATCACGGTCTACACTTTTTTTTGCAGTGATTTTAGAAGTATATAAGTGCGCAATCGATAAAAAGTATAGATTAAAAGGCTCGTCCAATTACGTTTTGCACCAGTACGCAGCAAATCATATAAAATCAGCTATGCCTTAAAATTCGCCACGGTCTACACACAAAAATCGTATTTTCATGAATACTAATGAGCTATGATCTATTATATTCAAAGAGCTACTTTATTATGTAGACCGTGGTAACTTCTTATTCCTTTACTGCGTAAATTATGAAAGCATTCTAATAACAACTTTAATATGTAGGTAGTTCCGTAAGAAGAAATCGTTACGTTTCAATTCACCAATTGTATGTAATTCAAGTCCGAAGTTACTGTAGACCGTGCTAGTCGGCGCACAGTATTGAAAAGTGTAATGCAATATTTCATTGTTTGACAAACAATAGTAATATAATATTTACAGGTATAAGTGCACTGTATGTATTTAATGGCTGTAGTTGTATCGAATTTGAGTAACAGTTTATGATAGACACTTATCTTTGGAAATGCTAAGAATCTTCAATGTCATATTATATTGCCTTTCAAATGGCTAAAAAGGTTAACATGATTATTTCATTTTAGGTACTGAAACTTTTCCAGTCTGATATTGCGAGGTTCTTGTCATTGGCACGCAATATATTACAGGCTATGTATAAAATTATAGGCTGTTCAAAATTATAAGAGTCGTTAATATCACTAAATGTGCAAAAATACAATAATTTATTCCAAAGAATAAGGTAATTGCTGCATTTCTTGAGACGTTCTGGAATCATACTGAATCTCCGTGATACGACACTGAAAATTTTATGCACCGTCGATTTCTCTCCTATTAAAGCCTAAATGTGCTCCTTGGCTACGTATCTGAACTGTAATGTCGGTTTACCTTTCATGTATCAGATTGCGAAAAAGTTATGCTCGCACCTATTCAGTATAGTTCAGTTTTACGCACGCTTCCCACAAATGAGCTTATATTTGCAACATCCAGAAGTGACGTAATTGCTAATAGTGATGTCATCAGCGATCAAACTGTATAATTAAAAACTTAGAATACATAGGTATGCATTATAGTCACATCAGACGTATCAAATGTTAAAGAGCAAGCGATAAAACAGCGCTTCTCAATACCCATCATTTTTCAGACAATCCTGGACAAAACGTTGTGGACAACCCACAGACATTGGCCTCGAATAGCGTTTTTTCTAAACAATTATCCCCCCGCTCCCCCAAGTCAATGTTGAATGGGATTTTTCATGAAATACGAAGTGTGGTTAAGGCGGACATGCAACATTGAAGAGGGGGAGTGGGGGATGTGCAAGTAAATTCAAGTTTTAGGTGTTTGTTATGATTTTTGCAAAAGTGGATTAAATGTCCACATAAGTTTTGGCCCGGATTGTAGTTCCAAACTATTAAAGCTTCAAAGGCCCATCTACACGATGCAAGTTGAACGTACTGTATATACGATGATTTTAATGCGAAAATTCCAGTTTAAAGAGTCTAGATTTTAAAATATTTCTGAAGAGGATGCAACCCGATCCCCAACAAGCTATTTCTTTGAACGATTGAAAAGCTACAGAGCTACATTTGGTGGAACATTGTTGTTTCGGAGGGCAGTTAAAAATCGCATTATTGAAATCTTGTTTTATTACATATTAATCAAAGCTCATTTTGTGATTTTCCCTTGTTTAAAATAAAGGACAGTGAGTGTTCCTTAGGCTTAGTACAGCAAAGTTGTTGCATGAATCCATGGCTGAAAATGCAGGAAATAGCATTTCCGAGGTTCAAATTTTAAAATTTTCTAGGGGGAGCATGCCCCCGAACCCACCAAGGTTACAGATCATTCATATACTGTACCTCCCCCATTCTACTCTACTCTATCCCTGCATGCTTTAGGTTTTGGTGCAGTTATACATTTTTTGTAAGTAAACCTGCACGCTTTAGTGTGGGGAACATTAAGACATAACCATATAAAATAAAGCACAGTGAAAATTCCTTAGCCCCTCTTGGGATTCAGGCTCGGCCTCCTCTGACTGAAAACCCTGGCTAACGTCTCTGACGATAGCTATATGAAAGCCTTCAGTTACTGTAAGCAGTTATTATGAGGGGCAAAAAATATATCCTGCTGCGAAATATATTGGGAAAAAATATCTTGCGCAGCACTTTACAGGAAAAAAATATCTGTCTTATTCCCTGGGCAGAAAAAAATTCTTGCACAGACTGAATCTTCCACCCCCCCCCCTCAAAATCAAATGGTCCGCCCCTAAATGCAAATGACATCTAAATCTAACATGTTAATAGTTGTACTTTGTCATTTTACGTATTCTATATTATTTGATTGTTAATTTGCGGCGAAAATTTTTTAAATTTTAATTAATGCGAGGGCACGCTCCCCTCCCCACGCGATTTTTTAACTATCAGTCACAGCCGGCTACTTTTTTGGTACAACCGCCTACTTCAAATCATTCTGAAACCCCTGGCAACCCTAGGATCAACAAAGGACCCGGAGGGACAACTGGAAATTTTCCCAAAGCTGCCCCAAGCCATTCCAAACTTAGGGTCAAATGCAAAGGGGGATCACAGGCCTTAATGAAAAAAGTTGTGAAAATCGATGAAAACTAAAGGCTATAGCCTTATTTTTTTGTCGTTTTTCCCCTCTCTCCTCCGCAGAGGCTTACATGAAGTTTTTAGGGAGGGAAAAGTAAGCGTGCAAGGAGTGATGGGAAGAGCTAAATAAAGGAAGCCTTTGCAAGTTAATGCAACCAATATGGCATCATATATAGCGAAGTTCAATCACCCTAGAGGGTGTTAAAACATTTTTTAGACTTTCATTTTCAGGTGTACTTGAGTATCCTGTGGTGAATTCAATATCAATATCTTCTGTCCATTTGCATCGAAAATATTGAGAAATTGCAAACAAATATCATTGGATACGAGCTATCTAATTATAAATATCCTCTTAATTGCAACATTTCTTTATAAAAATGACTCTATTGAACTTCGATACTCAGAATATTAATTCAATTTCTTTCACATTTCCATCAATTTCAAGATTAAAAAAGGTCAAACTATAGTTTGGTTCAAAAACCATACTTCATCGCATTATCTGGCAGAAAAAATTGTCAAAATGGACGAAAAGAAGGCTATAGCCCTACTTTTTTGCTGTTTTTTAGCCTGTTATGAAAATCTGTGTTTAACATTGAAACAGATTTTCTCATCAAAACAATCACTTTCAAGTAATAAAAACATGTTTTAAAACATTTTGCAAAGGGCCAACCACAGGCAAGTGGCAACCTGTGCTCAGCAAAGGGAGACCACAGGAAATTTTTTAAATTAAAAAAAGCCAGGAACTATTAATCCAAACTTTCTGAACATTGTCTATAACCATTTCTATCATCAAAACAATTATGTGCGACAGATAAAAAATGTTCACGGACACAGGGCTTCTGCGCTTATTGGCTTAGATTGGATTAATTCCCCCAAGGGATAAAACATATTATTCAGCAGGGATACAACATATTATTCAGCAGGGCTTCAAATTTGATTTTTTCAGCAGTATCCAACAGGATACTATAGCAACTTGAAATCTGATATCCATCGAGAAAATCTACTACCCCACATTTGCAAAACATCTTTTTGTTCACGAGCATTACCCATGGAAAGGATTTTTTCAAGCCTTTTAAATTTTTGTTTCTTCATACTTTGCTTGGCTTTGGCACTTTTTTGAGTGTGTCTTTCTTGCTCAGTCAAATTGAATTCAGTCGCCTTTGTTTATATTATTGTTTGATGGTATTTTATCAAGAAATATCAGCTGTGGACAGAATTTTTTTAGTATCCCTCGGGATACTGTGCTTGTGATTTTCCAGCATCCAAATTTAAAATCTGGTATCGCCAGGATACCGGGATACCGCGCATTTGAAGCCCTGTTCAGAATATATAATTTTCATGCCACATTGCCTGGAAGGCGTTTTATAAACTAACCTTCTTTACAAATTACAAGATTCAAGACAGCAACTGTAAATGATTCTGTGTTTCGTAGAAAATAATCTTTCTTTTCCTGTCATATCACCCTGTCATATCAACTTTGATGACTGATCACTGATCCAAGTTCTCTTGGAACAAAACACCTAAACAATGAGAGATTTTAAATTAATCTAGTTATTTGCAGATATCAACTGACAACATATATAGCAGACAAAGGGTGCAACAGAAAGGGTACCACAGGAAATTTTTTAAAAATTCATAAAGAGCCCCCAACTCACAAAACTTTCTTTCTCTTATCAAAACGATCACTTTCGACTAATAATCATGAATCATGATAAGACAGTCGTAGCACTGCCACATGATACAAATTTTTATGTCATATTTTTTCTATTTATGCTCTAATTGTGATGTTTGTTACTTTAATGCTGATTTTTGAAATTTCTCAAGCTTTACTCTTGATATCTTGCTTTTTCTTAAACATTTCCTGTGAGATTAATTAAGAGAGATTAATTAAGAGAGATTAATTGAGATTTCTTAAACATTTCCTGTGAGATCTGGCAACATGCTGCCAGACTTTCTCATGCCTTGAGCCATGGAATGGAAGAACACATGCACATGGATAATTTATTTATTAACTTCAGCCGTCAACAGAAATATAAACATATGCAAACAGGAAGACGGTTCAGGAACACTAACACAGCGTGAGCCAATTACTATTGTTCCCAATAAACTGCGAAACGACTGTTTTTTTAGGCGCTTTGTCAGTGACAGTGTACCACGCGATTACAATTCTTTGCAAGCGGCGTGTGAAAAACTGCAAGTTTCAGTTTGACAGTTATGGCAGTTGAATGGTTTCTAATTTTATTGTCCAATGAGATGATTTAAAATTCAAAACTACGCATCTAATTGGACAATAAAATTATAAACCATTCAACTGCCAATCTCGTTCCCCGAGCATGCCCGTTTGCAGGTTAAGGGTGGGCATAGCTCTGGAGAAATCGAATTGATTCACGTTGAATTTCCAACGTGAGTTCTACGCATGCTCGGCAATGTTGCAAAATATAAATAAAGTATTTAGAAATTTCGCGTCGAAAAATTGATACATTTTACACTGAAATCGAATTGAAAACAACTAAAAATTCTGGGGGAAATATGTACGAAAGCTTCGGTTGGATAGGGATACAGCTACCTGAAAAATACAAGGAGAACTTCGACGTTTCGAGCGAAGGCGCTTCGACTTGACGACTTGTGCTGTTAGTGTTTGTATACATCGTACATGACCTTTGCTGATAAATATAATCTCCTCAATAATTAACAATTATTGGATGAGGTTTTTGTGATATGCAGAATTATCAAGGTCGAGGTAAGCATTATCAGCCGAACCGAAGGCGAGGCTGATAGCGCTTACCGAGACCTTGATAATTTTGCATATCGCAAAAACCGAATTCAATTTGAATTCGGTTTTTGCGATATGCAAAATTATCAAGGTCTCGGTAAGCGTTATATTCAATATGATTTCTGGCAAAGCTGTTGAAGTAAAACGTTTCTATAAACAAGTCTTCGGAAGTCCAACAGTTAAATTAATTACAAATATAAAACAAACATATTATCGTTAAGATGCTAACGTATTAAAATATTTACTTGTTAAAGTAAACATTACAATTATGAAATGTACATTCATTTGAAAATTGAAATGTACACTCATTTGAAATGTACACTCATTCAATTTCACACAAAATCCAGTTATCTGCTAGCAGATAACTGAGTTATCTGCTAGCAGATAACTGAATTTTGTGTAGGTTGCGTGATTTAACTGTAAGCTCTTAGCCAATCAAATTGCTTTTACCAACTACAATGTATAATAATAAGTATTATATATTTTCATGCTTTAAAATTTACATTTAACTCTTCTGTCAGAATTTATGGTATACGTAGTGTTAGGTATGACAGTATATAAAAGGTCAAGTACGATGTATTCAAACATTAACAGCACAAGTCGGAGCGCCTTCGCTCGAAACGTCGAAGTTCTCCTTGTATTTTTCAGGTAGTTGTATCCCTATCAATCCACAGCTTTCGCACATATTTCCTCCAGAATTTCTAGTTGTTTTCAATCGATTTCGGTGTAAAAAGTATCAAATTTTCGACGAGAAATTCCAAATACTTTGTTTATATAGAACTCACGTTGGAAATCCAACGTACTATCTGCCGTTAGCCAATCACAGGCCTGAATCAATTCGATTTCTCCAGAGCTATGCTCACCCTTAACCTGCGAACGGGCATGCTCGGGGAACGAGATTGTTCAACTGCCAGAAATGTCAAAGGTGTGTGTCTAGAAAATAGAAATGGCTTTCATATTAAGGGCGAGGTTAAGGAATGCAGTAATACTAAAAAATGCATTAACATGTAAGTAAACGCAGCAACGCTTGTCAATCAATTGCAAGTTACATTGAATTTCAGTCCGAATTTTACTTTCTGCAAATTATCCGACAAAACCTGCCATGTGTTTGTGTTCGCAAGTCACAAGAAGCCGCCAAGTGTTCCTCCATGCCGGAGCTATTTGAAAACAGCGTAGAAAAGTCACAATAAGTCATCGCTAATTTACTCTACGCTGGAGCGAAATCGTTTGAAAACTTTCACGTCACTTTTGCCGTAACAATTTGAGCACGGTTTCTAAATGGAGTGAGGTGAAAACGGCGGAGCGCTTGATAGCTTTGTGTGAACACAAACGTGTAAACTCGAATGCTTTTCAGTTAAATTTCTTGGGTCTATTTGAAATACTTTGGGTTTACACGAGTGCTAATTCAATTTGTAAACAAACTGTAATGGCTTAGTCTGAACACACGTAAATTCTGCCCGCATTAGTTCGCGTGCGCGTAGTGTGAACGTAGTCTAATTTTCGGTGACGTTTTCGAACAGCAAGGTAGCCTTTAGAAAAAATTAGAAATAGTGGATGTCCGAAGGGGAGGGGGGTAATTTTGGGCTTTGATGTCCGGAGAGGGGGGGAGGATGAACCATTCAAGGATGTCCGAAGGGGGGGAGGGGGTTATTTTCGATTTCCTCCGTAGGGGGGGGGGTATGGATCTTTTCTGGAACGACCCAATATAGGCTAGTATAATCCTTTTTATCCGAAGTAGAGAGAGAGCGTAAAATTTCAAAATTTGAAAAAAACAAAATGATAAAATTGTCAAACAGAATAAATGTGAGAAATATAGATTCTGTATATATTCTAATATATATGTTATATTATTATTATTCTGTATATATTTTTTTATTTTATATATTCTCTATATATTCTGTACCAGTGTGCATTCCATGCACTCCATGCCGGATATATCCGGCGTGAGGTTACAAAATTGTTGGTGTAAAAAAATGTGTTTCTTAACATTTTCTGAAAAATCTTTAATTTGTCATTTTGGAGCTGAATGTGTACAAATTTTAATCAAATTTTGTCCATACTTCTGTAACAAGTGCTTCTTAGCATTTTTGATTTAAAATTTGTTGTATTGGGGCAAAATTTTTGTTTCAGTAGTTCAATTTCTCCTTCGTGATATATTCTGAATGCGTAATGAGCTAACTTGGAGACCCACAGATCGGAATTTTAATTAAATTATCACAAAAAATGTAAACAAAATATGTGCATGAGCAGAACGGACTTGACAGCCTCTTTAAAAAATTTTCGCCGCAAATTAACAATCAAATAATATAGAATAAGTAAAAAGACAAAGTAGAACAGTTAACATGTTAGATTTAGATGACATTTGCATTTATACTTGTAAATGACAATGTACTTTAATGTGCTACTAGTAGTTTAATTTTTACAGCAGCATAAACAGTGTTTTGAGTCCAAAATCATTAACCCATTAAGCGCCAGCTCTCTCCACTTGACGAGTAAAATTGTCTGGCATTAGACAGAGTAAAAAAAATTAATTACTAAAGTAGGGTAAATTGTCACTCAATGGGTTAACTAGACACATGGCCAGTTAACCCATTAAGTGCCAGCGCTATCCACTTGACGAGTAAAATCGTCTGGTGTTAGACAGAGTAAAATACTAAAGTAGGGTGCATCAGGGTGTATCGCCACTCAATGGGTTAATCAAATGATGTTTAATACTTATGTTATACTTCATCACTTTATCATAATTAATTCACTATCAAAGAATATAGTCACTTGAAAAACATTTACCAAAGTAGCTCTGAATCGGACTCATTCTCTGGCTCACTGTCAAATTCTGATTCCCCAATGCTTAAGTCGCTGTCAGAGTCAATCAGAGTCATCTTACTTCTTCCTGTTCAGGAAGATTCAGAGCCGCTGACCATTTGCTACAAAATTCAAGATGGCAACAAGAAAACAATTAAGAATGTTTATATTATCGCTTTTTCGACAGCAACTTATTAAGAAAGCAAGCTATGTTGGTCTTATTGATCTTCCAAAATAAGTGACGTTTTGTTTGGATTCCAGTTGGAACATAACAAACATCGTGTTTGTTCGCTTGTACCTTTGTATAATTTTTTTCCTGTGACCAAACGAAAAGTAGCTGGTGGAACTCTGCCAGCCGCAGGCTCATTCTGAAACCCCTGTTTTATTGCAGAAAGTTTTTCATTGTAAATACAATATATATAATATGGACTGAAGGAAAATCTTAAACATTGATTCACACTTGAAAACCAACATTCAACAATAATATAACATAAAATTTGTTTAACATATTTATTAGTCGTCCATTTTGGCATACAACAAAGGAAACCTGTGGCCGCGGTCTTTTCTCTGTGAACGACAAATGCCCGGGGGTAATAACCTGATATTGACAAATGCCCGGCCCCCGAGTGAACACGCAGCTGCAAGTGCCTGGCCGTGGGGACAAGTAAGCGTACAAATGCCCCACACTGTCCCGGGGAGGGAGGGAGGGGTAATCGCAGCTGGAATTGACCAATGCATAATCTGGGCGTTGCCAAAAAAGGCCTTCGCTGAAAACGTTGAATTTCGCTTTGTTTTTTGAGATAGTTGAATCCTTACTAACAAAAGCTTGTTACCATTGGCACTAACTACGTTGGTTGATAATTTATAAAACCTTGCTTTTAACAAACCCCAGGAAATTGAGACATATGATATACCTTTCATACATTATTAAGATTTAAACGACATCAACACAAGAACAAGCCCAAATACCTTAGAAGCAGACACGCCAGAGTATTTTTAGCAGCTTCTGAACAGGTTACGGCGCTGGTATCGAGGCGAAAAGACCATCACACTTAAGCTTCAACCACGTGTTGTAATTCAGTAAGCTTCACAGAATAGCATCTTTTGAAGGAATTTGCAGCCCTTTTTTAACGGCTAAGAACACAAGAAAGTCCATTCTTTAAAGATAAGTGGTAATACTTGGATAAAATCGAAAAAATAAAGGTTTTAGAACGAATATTTTGATCTGAAACTCGATTTAATGTTGGCTTTTATTGAAGCTCTTTCTACTTCCTTGCCATTGCTAAAATCTCCTGCACGTGTTAGCCTGGCGCGGGCAAAGCCTGGATGCGGGCTGCGAAGGCATTTGGTCACAGGGGAGGGGTGGCGGCAGGTCACGGGGGTAATAAAATTTTTCCGGACTAAGTGAGACTAACATTAGAAAAGCTAAAAAAATTTTCGGACAAACATAACCAAATATTATAAATTGTTAAAATTGGGAAGGATTTCATAACTTTGACCAAATTTTACCAAATTTGTTCTCAAATTTCAACAAATTTTTGCCAAGTTTGACCTCCGATTTATTCTGCACTACGGATATACAAATATTCAAAAATCATTCATTATCAATATTAAGATGCCATCTCTTCGCAGTAAACAGAAACAAACTATTGTAAAAAAATTAGAGGCCTCGTTAAAATAAATAGAGGCCTCGTTGAAATAAATAGAGGCTTCGTTTTCGAAATTGAAATGCTTTACTTTGCTACAAGCGACACATTTAGGAAATCATATCATTACAGCTGTCAGTAATGCCAATATCTCAATCAGGAAAACGATTCTCTATAGCCGATGCTAAGTACTTTCAGAAGGATGTGAAATTTATTATAAAGGCCATTATATGTGTAATATTTAAATCACTGTAAGGCGAAATGTAATTTATAGTAAAAAGTGAAAACCCTTTTTCACTGTCAAAATTGCTGGAGTGCTGGATTGAATAGCAAATTAGTTGACAAGATTAGGTTTTTACTTTTTACTATGAAGATATACAGGGTGTATCAAAATAAACGCAATTCATCTTTTGTGCTTAATAACTTTCGAAATACTATTTCTAGTTAAACGCTTTCAGGCTGACTTCAAAGCCTGTTCTTTTCTCTTTCAAACAAACTATTATCCTTGTCTCCAATGCTAGTAATAATTGTACAGGAAAAGATTTAGTAAAACCTATCATTTTTAGTTGCTGTTTAATTATGCAAGTTTACTATGTTTTGTTTAGTCAGTTTAAATGTTAGAATTTTCTTCTTTAAACTTTAATGTTGTCGTCACTACATCTGGAAAACCATGTAAGAACAAATTAAAAGTATTTTAAAAGAGACCAGGTTGTTTGAAAATCCTAAACGAATGCTAAAACTCGTCAAAACATTCCGGTGTCTGAGCCAGAGTGTCATCGAATTGCGATGTAATGTAAACAGAAATTATAGCAAGTTGATGTCAGTCAGCTTAGATGGTCCAAGCTAAAATTATATCGCATTTGAAGTTTCAAACTGAGTTAAAAATAGTGGAAGAAAAGCCGTAATTATACTTATTGTTACAATCCATTTAATAAAATGCAACATTTGTTTGTTTTAATGAAAAAATCAGTTATTTTCATGAGAACGATTTGTTATTCCATCTCAATTTTTTTAATCTCCAATCGCAATAACGAAAAGTTTTACTACCCGCGAACCAATGAGTCAAATTTAAGAAACAACCCACTGTTAGAAAGCTGAATGGCTACGCTTTAAAATGAATGTAAACTTTAACGTTTTCGTCTGTTATTTGTTTAGCAATTTACATTCCAGTCGAGGATTGCGCTTTTTT